CGGAGGAGGAGGAGGAGGAGGAGGAGGAGTTCAGGTAGGCCTATGTGGCTGGGATAAAAATAGATGTAAGTTTCACCACCTGCAGCCGCAGCACTTTATTTCTCAAGATTGAGATGTTCACTTCAGGAGCTTCGCCCTCTGCTGTTTGCACAACAAGGTCAGTCGTGTCATATATTGTATATAATATTGCATGTTAGTTGTTAACTCTAACATGCACACAACAAACCATTTTCAGATCTTCATTTTTTTCACATTGAAATATAATAATATATTTTTGTATTTTTACACCCACGTAGTACATAATGAATTTCGTACAAATAAAAAAGTAAGATAACCACGTCCTGCCTTTTTGCTATAGAGTCTGCTAAACCATAAATTTGCGTGCTATACTACTGTATTTGAAAATAGAAAATGTCACTTTTGAGGATCCTGATTGCGTCAAAAGACTCATCAAAGGTATTTTTGAAAGTCAACAGGCAGTGTCTGGCGGCCATCTCAGTTCGGGTCCTTCGGCCTAAACTATAAACATAGATTATATACAAAAATGTACAACATGTATTCACTAATGTAATAATATGATAATATACATTTACATTACATTTAATTTTTAATTGATCCCAGAAGGGCAATTTGGTTTCCAATGGCAAACATACATACACACATACATACGTAAATACATACACATATTCATACATAAATACACAATATTACACCAATGCTGAACAATCTCACAACCATGCCATTGCTAGTCGCCACTGTGCAGCGTCCTGCTTGTTGAGCTAGGGTTGTCGTGTCTTGCCCAAGGACACACCCCAGTGATCACCCATCTGATCCCCGTGTCACCAACACACACACACACACACACACACACACACACACACACACACACACACACACACACACACACACACACACACACACACACACACACCCAGTGACCACCCATCTGATCCCCGTGTCACCGACACTTGCTTGACTTTACTCTTGAGTCTAAGCTCACTACTCAATATTAATATATCTTTATATAAAATAATAATATTTGTGCACTCGTATAACTAAGGTGACAATTTAAAAACATCAAGCATTACATGTACTAAAATTAGGGCTTCATCAAAGCTGCACTCGAATGCACGATGTGTGATATACATCAGACATAGGCAAGCATGTCCAAGTCTTGGGCCAGATTATGTGATTCTGAACATCTCGAGGGCCAAAGCAGAAGAAAATTGGGAGATGTCAGCTGAAATACCCAAGCTCTCTAGAGTAAGACGAAAATTGACACAGTCGCTACCTTAGTCAGAGTCTACATAACAAGAGGGGCCACTCCTCTCTTTGAGCCAATTAAAAAAGTGTCCTCAAAATTTGGTGGCGACCTCTTCGCAAATGCGCACCCTTTGCGAACAGAGTTACCCTTCTTATGTTAAAAAAAAACAAAGTGAAACTAGCAAGTTTTTGAATAAATTTCGGAAGAACGCTTTTTTAAAATGGTTACGCTGACAAAAAACATTTTCTGGAGGAAGTAGTGATTGTTTTCTTCGTTTACTTTAATTTGACTTTAGAATGAAAGGCGAGAGGTAATTAAAATAAAAAAAAACCTAAAACTCCGCACTGAACGAACCCGAACAGCTGATGAACAGCAGTCGATCTGCGCACACAAGGAGGTGCTATTCCTATTCTTCTTCTGGAAAAACGAAAGAGAGCTTCAAAACAGACTGCAGCGCCATCTGAAGCAAAGAGCGGACTTCCGGCGGACACTTTTTTGGCTGAGTGGCCCATCTTGTTATGTACTATCTTTGCCTTAGTCTAATTACAAAGTTCTATGACATGTTGGCTGCTCCGAGTTACACAGACCATGGGGTCAGAAACCAAATAAATGTTCTTTCTGCTCTATCAAATTTGCACGTATAAGTGGGCATGTGTGTCATGTGTGCGCGCCCACGTGTGTGTGGCTGTGTGTGTGTGACTGTGTGTGTGTGTGTGTGTGTGTGTGTGTGTGTATGTGTGTGTGAGTGAGTGAGAGAGAGAGAGAGAGAGAGAGAGAGAGAGAGAGAGAGAGAGAGAGAGAGAGAGAGAGAGAGAGAGAGAGAGAGAGAGAGAGAGAGAGAGAGAGAGAGAGAGAGAGAGAGAGAGTGTGTGTGTGGGGATGTGTGTGGGGATGTAGTATATGATCGAGAGGTGTGTGAATGCATACATGTACATCTACAGGAGTATAGATTTGTTTCACCATTAAAAACAAGAAGAAAATCTCCCAGCACTTTTGCCGCGATTCCTAGATAGTGCAGAACTGTGAGCTGTGGCCAATGAAAGGAGGTGCCAAAAAGCCAAAGGCAGGACAAAGCCACCACTGCTGCCTCGACAGGTCGGCACGGTGTAGATGAAGTGGTCATCTGGCCGGTCAGGCGACACCCGAGGGCCCAAGTGTCCCAGGGTTATGTACTTCATCCTCCCATGCGGGTGGGAGATGATGGCAACCCGGTCTTGGAAGAGAGGAGATACTTTCATTAACTTTTGTGTGGCCTCACACAGATCCTTAACCAACTGTAATGACCTGTCACCCTGCAACAACCGACGTAACCTGCCATCCTGCAACAACTGTCGTGAAATGTCATCTTTTCGCATGGCCGTATGGAATATCCAGATCTGCAATATCTTAGTTAACGGCACTCGAGACGAAAGTGGTTTAAAATTGTCATTCCAAAACAATGGTCGAATTTTGTCATTGTGCACAAGCTCTCGAAAACCGTCACTCCACAACATCTGTCGAAAAGTGCCTTGACACAATAACTGTCGGAACCTGCTATCCCGCGGCAACTGGTGTAACCTCTTATCCCGCAAAAGCTTTTGTGACCTCTCATTCTCCAACTTTTTCTCCAAAAGCGACAGTCCCCTTTCTAACAGAGGATGCAAACTATTGTTATTGGTACTCTGAAAAACCTTACGTAATTTTATGTCAAAGTCACCCAACAACATGTTCCTCCGTTCCTCCCTCCGCCTCAGACAGCAGCCCACCAGTCTCTGGGCCAGGACTTTGTCATGGGTGTACACCTCCACTACACATCTATCCTCCTCCGTGTGGGCATCCTTAACACCCCAGCCCCCAGCCACTGTCATACTGCCGCTACCGTCAGCTCGATCATCAAAGAACACTACTTCGCATTCTCTGGCCTCCGTGTCGTCATAAACCACGTGACGGGCAGTGGCAATAATAATTTGCCAGTACTTTTTTTCCTGAGCCGTCCCCTGTGGACACTTCCCCCCACACTTACAGAGTTTCGCATTATCAAGTCCAGCATAGGGACCGTGCACTCCCTCCACGTAGCCGCTGCCGCTATGACAGATGCGTTGACCTCTTCTCTTATAAAACGGGTAAGGATTGCCGTTTGCCCAGGTGTCTGGCCGCTGTTTACTGATAAAGCGTGTTCCGATCCTGACCACTGTATCTGCACACACCTTGACACACTTCACTATCTGGTTGGCAATCTGCGGCTCTACATCAGGCATCCATGAGCTCACATGGTGCTCACTAAACTCGTAGACGGGTATGAACTGGGGATGGCCTGGGTTCTTCCAACACTTACTGGAAGAAGAGAGGGGGCCACCGAGTTCAGCACAATCCTCTTCCACCTCGTGTGTTCCTGCAGCAGAAGAGTGAGAGAAAGAGAAAATTTATACGTATATAATATATTTTATTCATATCATTGCCATTTGAGCAAGATGCAAAAGAACATTACTACGGTCGTCCTCATGTTCAAACTTTATACTTTCAACTGACACTCGTACATCATAAGCGAGTATACGTGTATTATTATTATTATTATTATTATAATATATATACGGATATTCTTTATTTTTTATATATATATATATATATATATATATATATATATATACACTACCTCCAGACCCTTCACTTGTAGCACCGAAGTACATGGACTCAAAACATTTTCGTCGACGTAACTCTGTTAAATAAAAGATCACATGGCGACATGAACACATACACAAACACACATGCATGCACACACAAAGAAACACACATACCCACACTCAAACATACATACTGGTACCCACACACAAACACAAACTCTCTCTCCCTCTCTCTTTCTCTCATACGCAATTCCCCCCCCCCCCCCCACACACACACGCAAGGAGGGTGAGGTGGAGGATGATGAGGTAGAGGAGGAGGAACGGTAGGATGAATTTGAACTAATATTACATCATGAAAAGCCTACTTTATGACAATGACAATCTTTATTCATATCGCAGGGAGAAATTTGTCTTGGTCTTTCTCCGCCACTCATCTCTTCAAGTTTCCAAACTAAGTAAATTGTTCTTGTCTCTTTTGCCTTCTACATGCGGCATTTGGTTGATTATGACCTGTTGGCTTTGCCAAAAAAGTTCACAAAAGCCTAACACATTTCACAAAGGCCCTACACATTTCACACAGGCCCTACACATTTCACAAAAGCCTTACACATTTTACAAAGGCCCTTCACATCTCACAAAGGCCCTACACATTTCACAAAGGCCCTACACATGACCCGTTTGTTTCATGACATCACTGGCATTGGGCTTTCTCCCCTCTCTTGACTAGTGCAGAGTACAGTAGCAGTGTGCGGATCTACAAGTACAAGTGTGTGTGTGTGTGTGTGTTATTTGTGACCGCTGGGCAAACTGAGCAAGCTGACATTAATGTCAAAGTGAAAGCACAAAGCATCAAGTCTACAGTTCTAATTCATCATCATCCTCATCATCATTATCATCATCGCCTTTCTCACCCTGGATCAGGGTATAGGCCACGAACAAACACTGTCCACCTTTCCCTATCCTGGGTAGCCTCTTGATGTTATTCCATGTCTTTCCACTTTTAAAAACATCAATTTCTGTGACTCTTCTCCAGGTTCTACGAGGTCTTCCCCTTGATCTTTTACCGTGTGGATTTCAATCCAACACTTTCCTTGTTAGCAACTCTAATTGCAGTTACTAAAAAAGGTAGAGCAGGGAAAAAACCTCTAAAAAAACTTTCACAAAACTAAGTTTGCCACATGCAAGACATTCCCAAGTCTACGCCGTCCACAATCATTGCTATCCGAGCAACCCTTTCTTAACTGAAAATACGGCTAAACTAAACCAAAGAAAATCTGGCAGTCTCGCAGATTTTAGTTTCTGCGAACTCCGCTGTGGTTCTCACTGTAGTCCCACTTAAGAATTAATTTCATTCTTGTCTGTTGAAAAAATGTTCCATAAAGAATTATTTCTCCAGTACCGCAGGCATATGTCCAAATGGTATCCTAGTTTAGAATTAGTTCCTGGGCTATCCTGGACAGTAAGGAAACGGAAAGGCATTGCTTACTGAAAGCTGAAGCTGTATGCCCGGCAATTGTCATATGAAAAAATACAGAACTATGCTCTCTCTACTGCCACTAAAGTCAGACCTGTCAATGTCTGCTTCTATGATGGCAGTCTAAATCGAGAGCTTACTACTCTTACCATCCACACTACAGGTCTTAATCTTCTTGGAGTTGCAGTCGGACATTTCGCTGGATGAAGGCTGTTGGTGCACCCGTTTTCTGAAGAAGCGCTCCATGGTTGCCTGTGAAAGTGGAGATCAGAGATCATAGTCAAAGTGGCTGGGGGTCAATAGAATCAATTATAAATTAAATAGTAATAGTAATACATAGTAAGTCAGAGTCATGGCAATATCAAGAGACTAGGGGGAAATGTAGTCTGGGTCTAGAGATGCGGTGCTCGCTTCTCATGCCAAACATTTTCTATTCTCCTCCTTCTTATGCTGTTGCTCATCTCTCCCCATCTTCCTCTTCTTCATTTAACCTTATCTTTCTTTCCCATTAACGAATGAACTACACCCCCCAACTCCTTCATCCTCCATTCTTGATCTTAAGGTAGGTAAGAACGAGTGCAAAGTCCTCTCGGATATAAAGAAGGATGAAAAATCTCGGAGGTCGCCTAAAAAACAAATAGGCCTAACGTATGTTTGTTTTCAGTTTCACGGGAATGAGTCGGGCGATCGGCCCGATCCACTATCATATAAATGGGCACCACGTATTACAGCATATCAAGGAAGTCAATATCATATCAAGATATGAGTCCAAAGGAAGGGAAATGGATCATATAGTAGTTGGACAACATACTTTCCCTGTGTCTATCGTCCAGGAGCAAATAAGACCGCACTAAATACTAGATCTAGAGAATATAAGGGTCAACGAGAGACTAAACTAGTCTAGACGAGGTATATTATAGAAATAGTGTGCTAATAACTAATAGTAGGCTATTACAATCTACTTATAATTTATACACGAGTGGGGTCTTATAATATTGCATAACACTTGCCAATGATTACAAATGATTAAAATTATCATTAGTCATTAGAACTCTATTAATATAATTGGGTTTTTTTTGTTTTTTTTTTCAAATTGAAGGCAGAGTGTAAAAAAGTAGATCTAAATCTAGATCTAGATTCTAGATATCGAAATCTATTTTAGATCTATATCTAGATCTAGAGTCTAAAACGTTTAAAATGCATGTAGATCTAGTAGACGTCTACCTCTATACCCAAAATAAAATGATGAAAATAAAAACACATACTCACAGAATAGACACAAATCCTTTGCTCGGAGTTTCAAAATAATTGAGACTGTCAAACTTTTGAATGGTTCAAAGTTTTGGGTTGGATTATCTGTGTAAAACAATCTAGATCTAGATCTAGATCTAGATCTAGGTTTAGATCTAATTGCTGCCGCTGCCTTCGCGCACAGCTCTCGGGAAATGGCGGCTTACCAACCTTGCGGCGGCTTACACAGTTCACAGTAGACCACAAGAGTAGACAGTGTGCTATTTTAAGAATGGGAATTTCCTAGCAGAGATCTATTTTTGTAATTGGAATTATCCGGTAATTACGTTATAGTTGAAACTGTCTCACCAGCAAATAATACTACTACACCGGTAGTCTTGAAAAGACTTCACTTTACTAAAATACTTCTACTTCCCATGCCTAGCAAGATATATCTTTGGAATTTACAGCTCTACAATTGCACATATTTGGCATTTACATCTATAATTGTGCGTCTTTCGCTTTCGAGCATTCAGGGCTGCAGCTGACCTAAATTGTTGTATGTGGAAATTTCCGAATACCTGGGTGAAAATACATGTCAGGGCCCTTGGCCTAAGATTTCTGTGAGCCCTTCCCTCAGTCTTTAGCTTAGCAGGCTTCATGGAAATGTAAGGAAAAGATTTCCCGTTAAAATTATTCCCATGTTACGCATTGACAGACTTTTTAAAATTGACCATGCTATTCTACTCACAAGACTTGAGCGCTCATTTGGCTTATCGGGTACTGTGCTTTCATGGTTTAAGTCATATTTACTAGAAAGAGTTCAGTCAGTGCAAATTAAAAATAGCTTTTCAAAGCAGGTCAGGCTCGATTATGGAGTTCCACAGGGGTCCGTTCTTGGACCAGTGCTCTTTACACTATATACACAGCCCTTAGCAAGCATTTTACAAAATCATGGATTGAATTATCATTTTTATGCCGATGATTCCCAAATGTATGTTAATGGCACCATTCAAGATCTACCAAACATGATTTCCATCACTAAACAATGTTTTTATGAAATCAAAAAGTGGATGACAGTAAACAAATTGAAACTAAACGAAGAAAAGACAGACATCATTCTTATAAAAAATCCACGATTAAATAAAGATCTGGAAAGTGTCAACTTTGATTTATATGGGCATATGACATCTAGTAAAGAAGTTGTCAGGAATCTCGGTGTATATATTGACCACCACTTATCAATGGGCTCGTTTGTAGGATCTCTGTCCAAATCCCTTTATTTTCAGCTGAGAAGGATAGGCCTAGTTCGAAAGTACTTAAGCGAAGAGACCACAAAAACACTGGTAACATCTCTTATCCTATCTAGATTAGACTATTGTAACTCACTCCTAGCAGGTCTGAACAACAAATATTTGAATCGTTTACAAGTAATTCAAAACAATGCCGCTAGACTGATAACAAGATCTAAAAAACGAGACCATGTCACTCCATTATTAAAAGAACTGCATTGGCTCCCTGTAAAAGAACGAATAATATTTAAAATCTGCGTCATGTGTTTCAAATGTGTAAATAAAACTGCTCCTTTTTATCTGCAAGAACTTATCAGTATATATAAACCAGGGAGAAACCTAAGATCATCGAACGATAACACCCTACTTGTGACACCTGTAAAATCATACAAATCATATGGAGAGAGATCTTTCTCATATCTTGGTCCATTTATGTGGAACAGATTACCCATGAAACTAAGACAAATAAGAACACTTGATAGCTTCAAAAGACATCTTAAACATTTTCTGTTCCTACAGGCCTATCCTTCATAAGCTTTTAACGTTAGCTTTCATTATATTTGTTCTTTTCCTATGTCTGGATGAAAATAGTCTCTGTGTGTGTGTGTGTGTGTGTGTGTGTGTGTGTGTGTGTGTGTGTGTGTGTATGTGTGTGTGTGTGTGTGCATTAATGTATATTGCGTGAGAAGAAAGGAAGTAGTAAGAAAGGTTTTTGAAAAATGGGTATTCCAATGTAAAGCGCATTGAGCTACTTTTTTTGGAAATGCGCTCTATAAATGTTATATATTATTATTATTATTATTAAAATATAAAATAGTAAAAACGCTGCATTAAATTATTGGAATGTGAAAGTGTGGGGATATCCGCAATTGTCATTTGACCATCGTGATAGTGATAGAGCTTGTAGTGCTTTTTCTTTCCCCATCCTTACTATCGTCATTTTTCTTCTACTTCTTTTGTATGTCTGTCACTCTCTTGTGAACTGCTATTTCTGCGGTGCCTTGATAGTCTATGCAGACTTTTGTGCTGTTGAGGCAAGACAGAGGTGAGCAGAGTAAGTCTGATTCCCTGTTTGGACGTCTCTGTTAACCTAACATCCACCCCTTGGCGCTTACATGACCTTATAAATATAATCTATCTATCTATCCATCTATCTATCCATCCATCCATCCATCCATCCATCCATCCATCCATCTATCTATCTATCTATCTATCTATCTATCTATCTATCTATCTATCTATCTATCTATCTATCTATCTATCTATCTATCTATATATATATATATATATATATATATATATATATATATATATATATATATATGAATATAAATACTTATAAAAAGTTATATGCAGTTGCGAGCGCCGTAAAACCTTACTAAAACTTAAAGACCTGTGGATCTGAGTCATTGGAATCAATAAAGATACATTTCTCCTCCTTTCCAATACATTATAACATAAAGAAACAAGACTTGTCTAGACAAGGAAATCATATGATATATATTATATATAGTACACTGTTGTCACAATTTATTAGTAATGATGTTACATTATTAATATAATATTTTGAACTGAAAAGTGGATAAGAATAAAGTAAACAGTGGATGGTTAAATGGCGGGTGCTGTGGAGTGGTTAAACCTCCTCTTTCCTATCAAACACCTATAATTATAATCCTTAATCTCTCTTCCCTCTTTTTATGTGCTTGTTGCTCTCTTGTGACACCTCTCTAACTCTAATCTTCGACTCTTATGATGACCTAACAGTGGTGGAAGGGCCGTAAAAGGCTCTCTGAAATTTAAAAAAAAAAAAAAAAAATCATAATTAAAATATTTGTGAACAGTAGAAAGGCAAATCTGTTGCTTGAAGTTTCAAAATAACTGAGACCATCAAACTGCGAGATGATTCACAGTACAGCCTTGAGGTGACTACATGTTGTACCTACCTACCTAGCCTGCCTGTGATCTACTGCTCCACCTTAATCGTTCACAACTGCAGGGAAAATGGCCGCGCTGACACAGTGTGCTGTGTTAATTAAGGCAGGTCAGGAATTTCTTAACAAGGAGCTAAATAGAAAATATCCAGTATAGACATCGTTGTCATAGAAACTGTCCAACCAGCAAAACATAATATTAGGGCATATAGTCTTAAAACGACTTCACATTACCCACAAACTTCCATTTCCTGTGACAGGGCGATGTGCCATTGAAATGAACAGCTACAACTTTGGCATTATGGCTACAATTGTACGTCTTTGGCATTATGACTACAACTGTACGTCTTAGGTATTTATGACTACAACTGTACGTCTTTGGCATTTATGGCTACAATTGTTGGGGAATTTTTTTATACTTGAGCGAAGAGCAGTAGATTTTTTGTGAGCCCCTGCCCCAATCTTTGGCTTTGAAGGCTACATGTAAATGTCAGGGCCAACCGGGCTGAGAGGAATACAACACCCCAGCAGAAAGATCGAGATACTGGATAAAAATTCTCCCCACTCAGGAATCAAACTTGGGTCTCCTACATGCATCAGCAAAGTGCCAAACCACTACACCACAGATGTCAGTGCACCGGGAAAAAAGCACTGACCAAGAACCCCCCCCCCCCCCCCCTTCAACCCTTACACACTTCTCTGCATTCAATAAATTCAAGCTATTCAAGACAGACAAGGAACAATGTGAGAAATGGTCAGGAACACAACTCCAATTGGCCTTATATGTTTAGTTCTCATCATTATTCACAAATCCAGTTTTGAAAGTCCACAACTTTCCTACAAGTACCACTAGAAAACAGAGAATACAGTACAGTCAAACCTCGTTATAAGGGCTGGGCAATGAGTCGCTTTAGCAAAATCAGCATAATATGTTAGTGCACCTCTTTGGAGATTAAATGTGTTATGAACCGCTTCGGCAAATGGGTTAGAAGAACCACTTCAACAAATGGGTGCACCCACATCGGCAAACGGGTCAGGCAAGAGAGTTTAAGAGTCTGAATTCGGATAATGTTTCACTGAGAAATATCCGATTATCCGGATTTTGCCAACCACTACTCGTTATACCGCCACCCTCGGGACCATCAGGAAGTTGGCGGAACAGCGGGGCTGGCGGTTCAGAGGGGTTCCTCTGTTGTAATACAGCCCCGACTGGCGGTTCAGAGGGGTTCCTCTGTTATAATACAGCCCCGACTGGCGGTTCAGAGGGGTTCCTCTGTTATAATACAGCCCCGACTGGCGGTTCAGAGGGGTTCCTCTGTTATAATACAGCCCTGACTGTGGCGGTTCAGAGGGGTGCCTCTGTTGTAGTATAGCCCTGACTGCCCAATGTCAAGGGACAGGATTCTGCTGAGCGACCTGTGTTTGAAACGTGTCTTTTTGCCAGTGATGTAACACGCACATGTATTCAGAGCTGAGAGTCTTCTCTCTGTCTATCTCTATGTCTTTTGTTTGTTTGTTTTAATAAGGTTTTACAGCGCTCGCAACTGCATAAGTGTACAATGAGGTTTGACTGTACGTATTTCCCGACACAAAAACGGACTTCTGTAAAAATGTACATTTTGCTGTGCCTCCTTTTCCAAGTCGGTGAACGTACGTTTGTTGTATTTTATTATCAGGGTCATGAGTCCGCGTAGAGCTTGGATATGTCCTCATACTGAACACCAGGAACCACACGACCTTTGAGAGGCCCCTGGAGTGGAGGAAAGAGAGGGAGAGAGAGAGAGATTAGTCATAACACAAGAAGGCCTACAGTACACCCTTCAGCATGTAAAAAATGAACACCGTGACCTACAAAAATGGGCTATTTTGGAGTCAAAGGAAACCCCTCGCATTACAGGCAAGTATATATATATATGGTGGCGTCGGTGGCCTAGTGGTTAGGCTCACGGACTCGCAACTGTAAAGTCGTGGGTTTGAACTCCATCAGGGACCCGGCGTTTTACCTTGGGAAAGGCACTTTACACAAATTTTCCCCACTTCACCCAGGTGTGAATGGGTACCCGGCCATAGACAGCAAAAGATCTTGTCAGTATGTTAGTGTTTTAGTGCCTGTAAAATGGCAGCTTGCACTGTATGCTTCCCAGAAAGTTGAGATTGTTTCAGAATGCTATTAAGTCTGCTGGGGTAATACTATAAGTTGTAAAGTGCACAGAGCTTGCTGTTGAACGGGAATTTGCGCTATACAAACGCTATCATATTATTATTATCATACCAAACACACAACTGCTTGAGGCCAGACTATGAATCGTCTTCACCTTCATCTTTTCATCTTCACCAATTCCGTAGTACAGCTGACCATTACATTTGTAGACAAACCCCCCAAAAAAAGCAACAAAACCCTCAACACATTTTATTAGTAACGGAAACCACAGAAACAGCATCAGACCAAATTGGGTGAAGCCAAAAAGCAACCAAAGAATATGTTATTCTGTACATAAGACACTATTTGAAGGTAATCCCATACTTCTCAGCCCATCTGTAATTTCCCCACATGAACAGCTACAATGACCTCGTATTACGGAATTTTCATGTGAGATTTTTACTCCCTTGATTGTATGTGCAACTCAGAACCTAAAAAACCCCCCAAAAAACAACAAACAAAACAAAGCATAAATCTACTACAAATGTACCGGTACATTAGATTTAACATTAAATGTGAGGTGTGCAGACAAATTGAGTTACTTCTCGGATTTTAGCCCTATGGACATAGCTTCGTTAAATTTATAGGTTGAGTGTGTCAATTGATTAGTATGAATTGATAAGAAGATATGTAATCTTTAAGAAAATGGCGTTAGTTGAAAATCTGCAAATCGGCGTCTGTGGTGAAGCAGTTAGGCCCTTTGTTGTCGCATGCAGGAGACTCGAGGTCAATTCCCGAGTGGGGAGAAAAATTTCATTGAGTACCTGTCTTTCCGCTGGGACGTCATATCCCTCTCAGCCGGCGTTGATCCAGACAAGCAGGGTCCGAAACCCACCTCCTAAATGATCTAAATTGTGTTAATGAGGGTGTAAAAACACCTATATATATGTATTTTTAAAAAAATATTTTAAAAAATCTATTTGACCCAAGTGTCAATTTTCGGCCGATATCTTCAGTTGCATGTTACAAGAAGTCACTCATTTTGTCAGCAGACCTCACAAACAGGAAAAAACAAATCCTTTTTTAAAATTCATAAAAATAAAAAAATCCCAAACTTTAAATGTTGATGAGTACGGATGACTTACATGTTTGATTGCCACTGAGCAGCAGAAACGCTTCTCGTCCATGGCCTCGAGCGTGGCCTCCTCCCCGCGGTACGCTCCGTTCACCACCATCACCGTCTTCCCTGAAGGGACAACGAGGAAACAAAACACAGACTGGCTTAGCTGTAGTTTAGTTTAGTTTTAGTAGAGGTTTTTCGGCGCTCACAACTGCATAAGGTCATATGAGCGTCAGAAGATTAGAGGTGTTACAAGAGAGTTGTAGTTTGATTAAAAGTTTAGTTTAGTTTTAGTAAGAGTTTTACAGTACACTACTTGCTACAAAATAAGGTCATATTATAAGTGCCGCAGATTAGAGGTGTTACAAGAGAGTAACAAACACAAAAAAAAGAAGGAGAGATCAGGACAACAGACCACACCAGAGCACCCACCAACCAACCAACCACCTTAGTAAGATTTTACTGCACTTACAACACAAAAATAGGTCATACAAGTGGCGAAGATTAGGTGTTCCTACTAGAGTTTAGTTTAGTTTTAGTAAAGGTTTTACAGCACTCGCAACTGCATAAGGTCATATGAGCGCCAGAAGATTAGAGGTGTTACAAGAGAGTAACAAACATAAAAAAGAAGAAGGGGAGATAAGGATGATAGATGTTTGATAGGAAAGAAGAAGCAAACCACACCAGAGCACCCGCCAACCACCCACAGGTGTTCCTACCAGAGAGTGACATACAAAGAAAAGAAGGAGGAGAAATAAGGACTCTTAAAAAAATGGATGTTTGATAGAGGGAAGGAAGGAGCAAACCACACAAGGACACCTGCCAACCACCCACAACAACAAGAGAATGAGACAAAACGGGCACCAGAGGGCAACAAAACAGACTGAACCATCAAAGCATTTGACAGGATTATCACAATGTACACTGCTGGAAAATATCCATTTTTTAACCCTATCTCTACGCCCCGGGGTCATTTTGTACCCCCGCGGTTGTATTCCTCACATTTTAGAATACTTCTAGTACGAATATCTCTTTGAAACTTTCAGTATTTCTCAAAAAATCATTTTGACAGACTGCTATGCAAGGTGTGCGGGCGGATCAGATTAATGAGTGAATTTCCTCTTTGGAAAGTGGTGGCACAAAGTTCCCCATGTTGTATGGATATGATAGTAAAACACAACGTACGGATAGGGTTAATCACATAGGAGTAATGAGAAGTAAATTGATATAAATATAAAAACCATCATTTGCTTTTACTTAGTAACAGTTTTACAGCACTTGCGACACAATAAGGTCATGTAAGTGCCCAAGATCAGAGATGTTACAAGAGAGTAACAAAACACACACACAAACAAAAGGAGAGATCGAGGTCTGGGTCAATGGGGGTGTAAAAAAACCTAAATCTACATTAATTTTTTTTGGGACCAAGCTACTGTTTCCAAACTGCCTTACCCAATCCAGGAATGACCGTCTCTACGTGGGTCTGGTCCACTTTGAGCTTATCCCCACTGTCCAGCATTTTGATGACTGCAGAGAACAAATCCTTCACCTCCTGCAACCCAGAAATTGTTGAGTTTAGTTTTAGTAGAGGTTTTACGGTGCTCGCAACTGCATAAGGTCATATGAGCGCCAGAAGATTAGAGGTGTTACAAGAGAGTAACAAACATAAAAAAGAAGGGGAGATAAGGACGATAGATGTTTGATAGGAAAGAAGGAGAAAACCACACTAGAGCACCCGCCAACCATCCACTAATTGTTGAGTAAATTAGGTCAATTACGTAAAGAACAAAAACTCTTAGTCTCCACAGTTATGTTATAATAATCTCCTACAGCTAATTTCTCATTAAGTGAACAAAAGCTTTAAAAAAATATGATTGAAAAAATTAAACTTTAATCACTTTCAGAAACCTGTAATGTCGTGTAGCCCTAAATAATACAAAAGTTGGGCAGTAGTAAATACTACAGCTTATAGTTGAGTCCCCCCCCCCCCAATTAAAACAGAATTGCAACTATGATGAGAGAATTTCTTGGTGAAACTAGCATTAGGATAGATTCATAACTTCCAAGTTGCTTTATTTATCTTAATTCAATACATCGTCGCCTCAGAACTATTTTGTCCAAAGTGTACATGTTGGCGTCCGTGGCCCAGTGGTTAGGCTCTCGGACTCGCGACCGTAAGGTCGTGGGTTCGAATCCCATCAGGGGCCCGACGTTGTGTCCTTGGGAAAGGCACTTTGCACAAATTTTCCTCACTTCACCCAGGCGGAAATGGGTACCCGGCTATAGACAGTGAACGATCTTGTCAGTTTGATAGTGTTTGAGCGCATGAAATCCGCAGCTTGCACTGTATGCTTCCGCGGAAGATGAGAATGTTTCTGAGTGTTCTCAGAGGGTCTGCTGGGGTAATAATAGTTGTAGAGCGCACTGAGCATGCTCTTGAGCATGGATATGCGCTATATAAATGCAATTAATAATATTATTATTATTACTAGGTAAAGACTGCACTTACGATAAATAGTTCTGAGGTGACGGTATGTACTGAAAACTGGAATCAAACTGAACAACAAGATATTTGTAGACAGCTCTAAACCCACTTTGACTACTAGAGAACACTAGTATCAAACAATAAATGAAAAAACACTTCGGAAATCACCGTTCATTGGTAAACTAACAAAGCAAGTGAAAGAAAAATAAAAAAGAGAAGAAAAAAACTTCCACAAGGGAAAAAAAAGAAAGAAAGAAAGGAAAAAGAAGAGAAAAGGTCTGTTATAAATAGAAATCGTACAAACACTCATTGATAAACCAACAAAGCAAGTGAAAGAAAAAAAAAAAGAGAACAAAAAAACTTCCACGAGGGAAAAAAATGAAAGAAAGTAAAAAGAAGAGAAACGGACGGTCTGTAATATATATAGAAATCGTCCACACACCACACATGATACACATACTTTTACTACAGCTTTCTTCTTGTAGTACTTGTCTCCGAGTCTTTTGTGAATGACTTTGACCACAATGCCTGGACACAGCCAGTAGTCCTTGCGATTTTGTTTCTCTTTCTTCAACTCCTCCACCTGAAAGAATGAAAAGGAATTAATGATAAGACTAAATAAGTATTAAAAAACATTCAGAATAAGTAGAGAAAAATTCGTTTTAGGCTAATAAGTAGGCCTATTACAAAACATTCAGAACAATAAGTACAGAAAAATTTGTTTTAAGCTAATAAGTAGGCCTATTACAAAAATATTCAGAACAATAAGTACAGAATCAATTAGTTTTATGCGAATAGGTATTACACAGCATTCAAAATGTGGTCAGAAAAATTAGTTTTATGCGAACAGGTATCACAAAACGTTCCAAATGTGTGCAGACAATTTTTTTGAAGCTAATAAATACTACAAATCATTCAGTATGTGTACATAACTATTTGGTATATGATAATTATTATTACAAAACATTCGGATAAGTGCTGGGGTATGGGAAAAATTAGTTTTATGATAATTTGTACGGTATTACAAAATATTCACATAAATACAGTAGAAATTTGTTTTATGATAATTTGTACGGTATTACAAAATATTCACATAAATACAGTAGAAATTTGTTTTATGATAATTTGTACGGTATTACAAAATATTCACATAAATACAGTAGAAATTTGTTTTATGATAATTTGTACGGTATTACAAAATATTCACATAAATACAGTAGAAATTTGTTTTATGATAATTTGTATGGTATTACAGAATATTCAGAAAAGTACAGCAAACATTTGTTTTATGATAATTGGCATCCCAAAAACATTCAGATATATATGTACTGAAAAATTTGCTTTATGACATAACAAAGTCAACGAATGGTCACCTTTATGTGTTTTGGTGTGACATTTATCGATGTTCTCGAGGCAAGGAGTGAGTGCATTAGAGGAAGGACTGTATCTTGCATAAAACTATAAACATCACAGGAGCAGCCTTCTAGTTAATCCAAATTAGACCTAGTAGCAAAAGCGACATTCCAAATTGCCATGAAGAACAGTACCCTGTAACTCTGCCAACCTACAAGTTTCATCGTTTAGAAGCTTAGGCATGGGCTTCTGAAGGAGAAAAAACTCCACTGCTATAAAGTATGTATACTTCCTTGATTGTCTCCAGCTCGGTCTTTGTTCAGATATTCCTACTACTGTTTTGTACGTACTTCCAGGGGGCTCTCGTGGCCTAGAGGTTAAGGTGTTGGCCTCGCATTCAAAGGTCCCGGGTTCGAATCCGGGTAGCGACCGAAAAATTTTCTTCTCTAAAATTGTCTCCTTTCACCTCCTTTCCTGCTCTCTAGCAATATTCTGCCGTCTGCTTTCGTCTCCTCTTTCTTCCCCCCCCCCCTCACCCCCTTTGCCCTCTCCTCTGGGCTCCTGACTCTTTCTGCAGCCTTTCTACTGCTACTCCTTGACTCCTTCTTACAGCTGTCTTTCTGCCACACCCCTGATCGGCCGCCACTGGGCAAAATTCAAAATTTCCTACCAACTAAAAGTATTAGGTGTGTCCCACGCGCTCATATGACCTTATGCAGTTGCGAGCGCCGTAAAACACTTATAAAAAAACAAAAACAAAACGTACTTCCATAATCTCTTCCAACGCTGTCTTTGCTTTTCTTTTCTCTCCTTTGCTGGAATCCTTTGACTTTTGTGACTTCCCTCCCGATGATGATGATGATGATGACCCAGATGACGATGCTGCCAAAGGGTTGTCCCCTGAAGTCGGCCTTAAAGATCAAAGACGAAATTGTAAAAAATAAAATTTGTTTCTCTCTTTCTATGATTCAAAGAAAAGCAAACAGTAAAAACAGAGGAAACTCCAAACTAGAAAAAATGACATGACACATGGATACGAAAGAAATAATGATACAGTTGGTGGTTCTTGCACTGTATAGTGGATTCCACTTGTAGCCTTGGTAATAACAGGATTTAATATCACCTAGCCAGCCAGCCTAGAGAGCTGTTTTACTTCATTTGTTTTTCTCTGCTCTCTCGTCCATTTGTTTAACTCACTTCAGACGGGTCACACAACAGTTGCGTGACCCCCGCCGTGACGCTCGCGATGGGTCTCACAAGCCCTGCGTGACCAACTTTGGAATTTTTTTTTCACTCTACAAATCACGCACGGATCGTGAGACCCGCCTCATACCCTTGTTTGGCCAAGCCTGAGCTACTTAGACTTCGTTTCGTATCTCTGGGGCCGGTAGTTTTTAAGTTATTGAAGGTGAAGGACAGTGACCCCAACTGGGGTTGAACAGACCGGAACTCGCGCTTTGTTTTTTTCTATACAGCTGATAGTAATCCGACAGTCGCGTCGTAGTAACGGTCGAAGAAGTCGCATGAACAAGAATCACATAATTTCGCCGTTTTCTATACTTCTGTGCGTTTTACTAGTTCTAGTGTCTCAGAATATGATGTGTCTAATTGTTAGGATCCTGGATATGTACCCGAACACGGCCCGAGTCGTAGTTCTAGGGCTAGATCTAGCACTAGTACCGGTGTTGTTTTTCGCGCAACGAAATCACAACGTCGTGCCGTACATCTGTCTCATGTAATTCAGTGTATGGGTCTGAATCAATGCACAGACCAGCTTTTATATTTTCACCAAACACTCGCACATGTATACAAATCAAACCAGAACACTTTGAACTTTTATTTTTGTTGTTGCAGTGAATTTCATTCTACTTGTCACGTCTCTGGAAATTTTTTCGGAAAATCAAATTCATGCCAATTTTTAAAAAATCATACAAATTAAAGTATTAGACTTAGACAACTTTAGTTTTTTGTATTAGAATAAGCTTGAATGTTACTTTACTGTGTCAAAAAATGATTACAATAGGGTAATTCTGAGAGTTGTGGTGATTTATTGAAATACCCCCAAAAACGTCAGTCTTCAACGCTTGTGACTGGTGAAAGGGCCCAGTAGCAAGTGAGTTAAGGATTTTGCCAAAGGCTGGACCCCCGCTATAGCCCAGCGTGTTTGTCTTATTGCTTGCTAAAACAGAGGCACTATGTATTTATGTCTCACTGCTGTCTTAGCTAATTTCTTTTCTGTATTTCAATTCCTTCCATCTTTTTATATTCAACAATCCTTTTTTTTCTGGAACTATGTAATATTTGGAACTTCATGTTGTATTTCCAGGATTTGTGGGAAAAAAGGACCTTTAGACTATCTCGTCTTTGCTATGCAAAAAAGCAAATCTAAATTAAAAATTGAGGAAGAAAGATTCAACAAAAAGAAATCCATCACTCACAGTGGCTTTTTGATGACAGTGTCCAGCTTCTTGGCTCCGGCCAGATTAAAAGTGACCTTTTCGCTGTCATCCGTTCTCTGTAGATCCGTGAACACCGTTTCCTCTGGCGCACTGCCTGTCTCTTTAGCCCTCTCGATCTGCTTTTCAATGAATTTTGCAATTTTTTCGTCGTCACTGGCAGCCATCTTTTCCTTTGCTTTGACGGCCTCTTGTCTGCGTATGGTCTCTGGATCGCGATCAATGTACTGAACAAACCAACCCTTCTCTGTGTAGTCAGCAACAACCAGTCCTAAGAGAAGAAACAACAAAGACATTGACATCTGCACACAACGTGAACAGCTTATGACATCATAACATAACCCCTCCCTGTCTCTCTCATCAAAACACTTCTGTAGGTTACAGATACAGACCTGCCGACCACTTAATGATCAAACATAAGAGATTTCTTCAGAAGGGGTCCTAAAAATTAGACTTTGGAAAAATAACAAGTCTCCAAAACCACAGTGAATTAGGATTATGCAATGAGCCAACTGGCAGGTCAATGTTTATTGAAAAAAAAAAAAAAGAAAAAAAGAAGTGTTTTTTCACGTCAATTATGATAAGTTGCACAAATATAGCAAATAAAATATGTATCTACACATCAATTATAATACGTCAGACACTTATATATTATATTTTATGCAAATTCGATTGAAGTTCTTTTTATGACTAAACATTCAAAATATTGGAGGGCTCCGGTTTCATCAGAGTACTTGGCAGGTCCACAGATACTCCATGTTCCTACATTCAGCCGTCACTGAATATGACATGCAACAAAATCACTGTTTCACAGAGTAAAAAATATGTAGTGCAGTGTACAAAAATCAGATGCTATTAAGCACAGTGACAAAAAATCAATCTGACCAGTTCGTGAATCAGTACTTTCAGTATCCAATATAACAACAATTTAAAAAAATAGTTTTCCTTTCAAAGACAGCTCATGCGACGGTGGCAAACCTCCATTCTGCAGCTCACCGTACCTTCTTTTCCTATGTACTTGACAAACTCAGTGAGCGTTTCCCACTGCGTGGAGTTCATGTGGACGTGTTCTCTGAAGGCGATGTACTCCTGGTACACAAGGTTGGCGTTCACTCGCTTCGTGCCGAACCTGCGTCGGAGAAGCTCCAAGTACTCATCTTGGAATTCTCTGGTAGAAAAAAAAAGTACAACAGAGGATGAAAATACCAATTAGAAAAACTTTAAATCTAGAACAACCAAATCCCCAAAGCACAAGTTTAAGAATGATTAAAAACCCTGTTCCACTTCAACCAAATCTGAATCTTTTCAGCACCTTTATTTCAAAATGTTACAACCAACTTTTCAGCTCTTCGGCCTTATTCTTATCTGTAACTCTAATTACTACTACAAGCAAGTATTGTCAGTTATTCAATGCACTCACATAAAGCGTACAGGAATATCAGTTTAGAATAGAAAATAAATAGAGACTCTTTGGTTCTTTATTCTGTGTCTTAAATTTTGTAAAGTCTGATGAATATTTTTAATCATGCCATACATCAACTTACTAAGAATTCTTACTGACAAACTTCAGTAAATAGAAACATTGTATTTAAAGTTTTCAAAGTGAAAACAGCGGTGGGTGAATTTTTTTCTCAGTGGAAAAATTCTGCTCAAAGAAGATAAATATGAGAGTCAACTGAAACATACTGACATACATCTATATCAACCTCTAAAATAAAAAAATTTCCCTCCTCACTGGGAATTCCTAAAAATATTTAATTTTGGTGACACATACTGTGGCATACTTGAAATTTTCCATTAAGGAGTTCCACAGAACACCATCTTCCCAGCAGTAAATAATATGAGTACTCAATGTGTCACCAAACTTAAAGCCACCCTTAACTTCCACATCAAACAGAACCCCCCCCCCCCATCAAACAAACAACGACAAAAACAAACGAACTGAAATCGTACTTGGAGAAATCATCGATGTGCTTGTCTGGATTCTCAGCAAACAGCAGCAGTTGTCTCTGATGCGACTCCGAGGACATATGACACTTGAAGCCATTCTGTCAGGATATACAATACGCCAGAACATGGAACAAATTAAAATAGGATTTGGATTTGCCTGACAATGGAAAATTTGTAATATATATATATGTGTCACGGCATGGTGTAATCATTATCATGCGCTCGTCAATTTTTTGCCAAGTGGAGTTATATTGGTATTCTAAAAACTTGTTCAATAGTCTTGCTATTGGAGAAAAAAATGCCCATCTATCTTGAATCTATCTGATCAGTCAATTAACATTTTACAGACACTAGAGTATTTACTAATAGCCTGTCTCATATATATGTTCTATATGAAATGTCCAAGTCAAATCAAAGACAGGAGCATAAAATCCCTTGAAAAAAATTACCAGTTCAAACAACACTCTTTAACCTTCGAGCATAACTTTAACACACTTGAGCCTATTCCCATGTATTAACGGGACGCCCCGCTGGTTGAATCCAATGTATTTACGGGATACGCATAATAGATCAATATCTCTGGTGTTTTTCGGTAACAAGCTATGGGAAGTGACAAGCCAACAGTCAACCCACTTGTTTCAATGCGTTAAAAATTTTGTGAAGTTATGTGCGATACTTCTTGAGCTGTAACGAACCAAGTCAGTCACCCCCGCATTGCGATAGATGATTTTGATTACAAATTGGGTGCAATAAAAAATAATTGCGTAGCCAAAAGACATTGCCATTTTAAAATATTGATAAAATAAAAACTATTCGCTCAAAACAGATGCGGAACTTCTTTTTTTGTGAGACAGAGCATTTTTTTCTTTCTTTTCTTTTGTTGCATTTTAAAAATTATGATAGCTCTTTCACTGTCTTTTTGTGGTTAACGATTCAAAATACCCCCAAAACTGTCAGGCTGCAATGGTTGCTAAGTTAAAAAAAATAGCTCAGGAGTGATTTAATGTACCTCTAAACTGCACCCAGAACAGAATCAATAGATACAATCTTGCTGTCAGAACAACCACACACACAAACAAACCTCATCTCGGCACTGCTTTTGACACATCTGACAGTACCAGCGCAGCTTCTGCAGTCCCTTGGCTTTGATGCGATTAGCAATCGCCTTAGGGGTCAAGAACCCTGGTTTTCCCTTCGCCATGATATGTACTCACTGGATCCTACTGTAACAAAATTTTGAGGAGAAAGATAAAATGATAGTGAAAGAACAGGAAGAGCGAAAGCCGTGCCGTAAGATAATCACGAATTCTCACCTTTTAACAATGAAAATATATATAGATCTCTATGTCTACCCTCAAAATCAAGAAACTGCAGTGATGATAAGATTAATTAGCAAATAAATTATAGGGAAAAAAAGGGTAAATTTTTACTTTTATGCACCCACACAAGTAAATATATCATCCTAATTGCTAAAACATCAAATCATTGTGAAATGCAGGGGGGGGGGGGGCATTCCCCCCTGAAATCCATCAGATTCTTTTTAGGGCAGGGACTCGGGACTCCCATAATGTTAAATTTACTAGATTAGTAGTAGATGTAGAATGTAGATCTAGATCTAGTCAGAAGAATGACTCAGAAGTAGTGGTAGATCTAGAATCTAGTAGATCTAGTAGTAGTAGTCAATTGATGAATCTGTCGTCATGTCTTGGCGCCTTATCAAACGTAATTTGTTATCCCTAAGTCCTAAGTATTCGTCTCAAAACGACTGTACATTTACATACGAAAAGAAAACGGTCTAACAACAATACCGTCTCTGCTCTCTCAAATCTCAAAAAAGGTTTAGGCAAAATTTGCCTCTGATGTGTTCGCCTTGTTGCCTTCTCAGTTTGTTTACAATTGAAAGGCAGGAAGTGGGAATTTATTCAGTTATGTGATATGACGGGAGGCCTCTTTGATGATTAAAGAAAAAAATGATTATTTATCTATATCGCAAAAAAATCAGCTTTAAAATTTAAAAGATTTAATTATTATCACTTTAGTTGTTAATAATTATACAAACTTGATGCCTTAATCTATGTTTATAGATGTTATAAATAGTGATAAAATAAAACAATGACTAGTCCTAACTAGGGGCCATAATTTTTTTGTCCGTAGCATTGCAGTACAAAGTAAGCGATGATGTATTTCGATTGCCGAGTGTTTCGGAGCCGTGTAACTGTAACTTGTGTAAGAACACCTTGATTGGGCTCCCGGCAATATCTCTTTTCACTGTCACTTGTAATTTCAGGGTGACTGTCTTTCCTGTGTGTTTTGAAGTCCAGTGTAAGGTTGGATCTGTTTTGCCAATCAGAGTTGACTGACTTAGTTTGCACCGCTCTGTATTGGCCCGCTGTCCTGCTGTCAACATGAGGACCTATCAAGATGAGCTCAAATACTTGGAAAAGATCACAACAAACTGCTGGCATATCAAGAAAGGATTTGTTGATAACATGAAGGTAGGAAAGTAGAGCGATGAAAATAACAGAAATTTGTATTTTTGATGTATTGATTGAAAGTTTAGTTGTTAATTTGTTTAATTGACTACAGGACTTTGATCATCATGTATGTATACAACTATATATGGCTTCATCGTACCAGAAGAATGTTGATTTAGGGTGCTTTATGCTGCTGTTGCCGAATACTACAGAATAGAAGAATGTTATGTCTTTGCTAGTGTTGTTGCCATAACATGCAAGGGAGGTTGTCCTATAACTTGAAACTGAAAACCTGTAACCTTTTTTAGCTGGTATACTGTCATCATCATCCAGTGCCAGATCTGCGACAGACATCGGCGATCATGGTTTTCCATTCATTCCTTTGCTTGGATGCTCTCAAAAAAGCTACATTTCCCTGATCTTTCCCTGTTACCCATTTGTTTAAGTTCCCTTAGTATGTTGTTCTGGGCCTACCCCTGCTGCGCTTGCCCTCAATTTAGGTATACTGTACATAGTCAAAATAAACAAAGCTCTGAAGTTTTGTTATTGATTCAATTTTTTGTTTTTAAAAGAATGTATGAGTAGGCTAGTTGGTGAGCTTTTTATATTTTGGTTGAACTCTAACACCAAAACTTTTACTTCTCTATTATATCTAGCTGATGAAGAAGTGGTGTTGTCGTGGCTTTTTGTGTACATTAGAAGTAACTGAAGACGCTAGCAACACTAACGCATGCACTTCTGACTCTTGCTAATCCGCCAGGATCTCCATGTTTGCGTTTGTTTCTGTGTGAGTTACATTCTTCAAATAAAAGATTTTGTTTAATTTCTTGGGCATTTAATTAGTTTTTCAAATGGGTGTGTTTTTTTTCCCCATCTTATCATGTGTTTTGTTTTTTTGATGACAGGTTGATGGCTATTTCTTCGTCAACGACCACTTGGAAAAGCTGATGTTTGATGAGCTGAAGCAGTCATGCAACAACCGAGGATTTGGCGGCTTCTTGCCAGGAATGAAGCAGATTGCTAATGTTGCCGCCCTCCCTGGCATAGTTGGGGTATGTCTACTTTAGTTTCTTTAAAAGACGTATAATAAAAGATTTGTTTTTGAGTGTTTAATTATAATACTTTTGGTCCATCTGTAAGAAATAAGAAATAGTTACAGTTTATATCAGTTTAACACTGATAGGTCGAACACAGAAGAATCAAAATCACGCACCTGTCGAATTGTGTCAGCGGTCCCCCTTTTTTTTCTTCTTTTTAACTTTGTAAGATCCTTGAACTACAGATCCCTCGAACTACCGAGGCCGGTCCTGATGAATTTGAGCTATCCATGTTGTACTGTTTTTTCACGTTGGTAATTTTACCCAAGCTGTCATTGTACTTTTCTTTTTTCATTTTGAATACCTGTTCAGCTGATGGTAATAAGATGATAAGTATTTATAATGCATTGTGTCTTAATAATAGTTGGTCCATCAATGTCTAGCAATGACCACTGCAGAGGAGAATATTTCTTAAAGAGAATTAGGAGAAATAAGGATATAAAGATGATTTGTGGCTTCTGTTATGGCAGAGAAATTTTAATGTTTGCCACATTTTGAAGATTCAAAAGACTTATTTCCATGTGTGGCTGTGTTCAGCTCGCTGACGTCTCTCTTGGCTTCAACATTTTTAATTCATGAAACCTCATGATTAGCTGCCCTCTGATTGTTACCTTGCTGCTAAAAAGCAGATGTCTCTGTCTGTGTGAGGCTTACTTTTTATGGTTGGCATGTGGTGTAGCTCTGTGCTGGTTGAGTGTATTTTTCTGTTATTTCATCAGTCTTTATCTGTGTAGAGTGTAGCCATGTTATTTTTTATTACAGTGATATTGATTACTAATTTGCTCTCTTCGTTTTTTTCCTGCAGAAATCCATTGGCCTGCCTGATGTCCACTCTGGTTATGGATTTGCTATTGGTAAGATTCACGCTGTTCTTTATTATTTCTCCCCCATCCTCCTCTCTCTCCCTTTCTCTCTCTCTCTCTCTCTCTCTCTCTCTCTCTCTCTCTCTTTTTCTCTCTCTCACTCTCTCTCTTTCTCTGTCTCTGTCTCTCTCTCTCTTCTGTTCCATACACTACTTTCGAGTGCACATCCACAATCTCTCTTGATGCTGTAGTTTCAAATGCTTTGCTTTATTTTCACCATAGTACCATTTTCATTTGATGAGACTTGCAACTTTTTCATGACAGTCTTTATTCAGCTAGTGTGTAACCATTTTATTGCAATGATCTCGATTATGCATTGCAACATTTTGTCTATAGTTGCCTTGCAGATTTTTTTTCCCACTCTAATGTTTCTTGAAACTGAATTTTATGGACCCTTTTCCACGACAGGTAACATGGCTGCCTTTGACATGAGCAACCCGAAAGCGGTTGTGTCCCCTGGCGGAGTGGGCTTCGACATCAACTGCGGCGTGCGTCTGCTGCGGACGAACCTCCACCGCCGGGACGTTGAGCCGGTCAAAGAGCAGCTGGCCCAGTGCCTGTTTGACCACATTCCTGTCGGGGTCGGCTCCAAGGGAATCATACCCATGACCGCCCAGTGAGAAAACTCTCTGAGACTTTTTTAGTTTTATGGCCCTTTTAACTTGTTTGTGGGTTATTTGAGATTGTTGTGGACTCATTGTGGATTAGTGAGAAAACTTTTTGACTTTTGAGTTTTATGGCTCTTTGAACTTGTTTGTGGGTTACGCGAGAAGTTGGACTCATTGTGGATTAGTGAGAAAACTTTTGAACTTTTAAAAAGCTTTATGGCCCTTTTAACTTGTGGGTTACGCGAGAGGTTGGGCTCATTATGGATCTATGAGAAAACTTTATGACTTTTGAGTTTTATGGCCCTTTTAACTTGTTTGTGGGTTACACGAGAGGTTGGACTCATTGTGGATATGAAAACTTTTGGACTTTTTGAGTTTTATGGCCCTTATTTAAGTCACTGAATACTAGGCTCTGAGGGGTTGGTTAGTTACTGGCACCTTGGAAAAAGTGGTGCTTTTTCCGAAAATCTTAACTTTCTTATTTATGCCTGTAATTGGCTCAAATTTTGGTACAGTGTTAGAAATGGGACATAGAGATTTAAAATACACCAACAAGAAATGTGCATCTATCATGATTTTCTGTGTGGATGTTGGAAAGAGTGGGAACTAATGAGAATGTCTTTTGACTACTGAGTTTTATGGCCCTTATAATTTTTAACTCATTGTAGCTTATGGTATGAGATGGGGGCTCTTGAAGGCTCAGTGAGAAGACCTTTTGACTTTTCAGTTTTACGGCTGTTTTAAATCAGTGTAGACTATAGAAAGCTATGGCGAGAGCTGGTTTTCAGATGCAGTGGTGCCCCCACGGTTGCCCCAACCACGGGATAGAAGAAGAAGGCTATAGAAAAGATTAGAAGTTGTACTATGTACCCAATTTGATAGACATCAAGTTCTTTGAGTTTGTTTTTTCCTTCTTCTTCCCATCGTTTGAAGCATCTTTTTCTTCAGCCACAGTTCTTCTCTTTTTCTTTTTCACAGAAACTTGGAAGAGGCCTTGGAAATGGGCATGGACTGGTCACTCAGAGAAGGTCAGTTTTTTTTTTTTATGTGGGTTCGTCTGATGGGGATGTGGAAGCTTGTATGAACTGCTTGGAGTAAGACTCCTGTCATACGTCATTTTTGAAAATTTTGAAAAGTGACATGTGACGGGAGTGTACTCTGAACAGTTGACATTCAGAAAAATACACTTACCTACACACTTTGAATCATGGCCGACATCGGCTGCGGCTTAAAAAATTTGAAAAATTGTTGTTTCAGTTTGGAGAAGGGTAATCCATTTGCACTGTTTAGCAAGATGTATGCATTAACTCACTTGCGACTGGGCCCTTTCACCAGCCACAAGCGTTGAAGACTGGCGTTTTGGGGGGTATTTCAATAAATCACCACAACTCTCAGAATTACCCTATTGTAATCATTTTTTGACACAGTAAAGTAACATTCAAGCTTAATCTAATACAAAAAACTAAAGTTGTCTAAGTCTGATACTTTAATTTGTATGATTTTTTAAAAATTGGCATGAATTTGATTTTCGAAAAATTTCCAGAGACGTGACAAGTAGAATGAAATTCACTGCAACAACAAAAATAAAAGTTCAAAGTGTTCTGGTTTTATTTGTATACATGTGCAAGTGTTTGGTGAAAATATAAAAGCTGGTCTGTGCATTGATTCAGACCCATACACTGAATTACATGAGACAGATGTACGGCACGACGTTGTGATTTCGTTGCGCGAAAAACAACACCGGTACTAGTGCTAGATCTAGCCCTAGAACTACGACTCAGGCCGTGTTCGGGTACATATCCAGGATCCTAACTATTAGACACATCATATTCTGAGACACTAGAACTAGTAAAACGCACAGAAGTATAGAAAACGGCGAAATTATGTGATTCTTGTTCATGCGACTTCTTCGACCGTTACTACGACGCGACTGTCGGATTACTATGAGCTGTATAGAAAAAAACAAAGCGCGAGTTCCGGTCTGTTCAACCCCAGCTGGGGTCACTGTCCTTCACCTTCAATGACTTAAAAACTACCGGCCCCAGAGATACGAAACGAAGTCTAAGTAGCTCAGGCTTGGCCAAACAAGGGTACGAGGCAGGTCTCGCGATCCGTGCGTGATTTGTAGAGCGAAAAAAAAATTCCAAAGTTGGTCACGCAGGGCTTGTGAGACCCGACGCGAGCGTCATGGCGGGGGTCACGCAACTGTTGTGTGACCCGTCTGAAGTGAGTTAAAAAATTATTTTTTTTCCTCAGGTAAATAGTTCTGTTTCGTAGTCAGTGAAGTAGAAAAGTGGGTAGTTGGCGGGTGCCCTGATGTGGTTTGCTCCTTCTTTCCTATCAAACATTTATCATCCTTATCTCTTTTCCTTCTTTTTTTTGTGTTTGTTACTCTCTTGGAACCCCTCTAATCTTTGGCACTTATATGACCTTATTGTGTTGCAAGTGCGGTAAAACTTTGACTAAAACAAACAGAAGTAGAAAAGAATATTTATGTCTTATTTTCTGAACCTGCTGTAAGGGTCACCTGTCCCATACAATTGTCTGTACAAGCGACCACAATGGCCGTTAGAGCAATTTGACTGTATATATAAAAATTTTCGACATCAAAAATGTCGTCACGCTGTGAGCCTGATGATTTTGTGGACGTTTGTTTCAGGCTACGCGTGGGCGGAGGACAAGGAGCACTGCGAGGAGTACGGCAGGATGCTACAGGCCGATCCGTCCAAGGTCAGCAGCCGGGCCAAGAAAAGGGGCCTTCCGCAGGTGAGTGCGCCGGCCTACCGGTCATGAACCATTCTCTGTGGTACATACCTTACTCAGTTTGACTTTCCACGACTTACTTCGACTTCAACTTTTAGACTCCCAGGGGGGCTCTCGTGGCCTAGAGGTTAAGGTGTTGGCCTCTCAATCAAAGGTCCGGGGTTCGAATCCGGGTAGTGACCGAAAAATTTTCTTCTCTAAATTTGTCTCCTTTCACCTCCTTTCCTGCTCTCTAGCAATGTTCTGTAGTCTGTTTTCGTCTCCTCTTTCTGTCCCCACTCCCTCATCTCCTTTGCCTCCCTCCTCTGGGCTCCTGATTCTTTCTGCAGCCTTTCTACTGCTACTCCTTGGCTTCTTCTTACTGCTGTCTTTCAGCCTCACCCCTGATCTTCTGGTAGGAAAGATCTACACCTAGCCTTCTCGGACAAGAGCGAAAAATCTCGGAGGGCCCGTGTGCAAGTTGCGCACGTTTAAGAGCCCTTGGTGGTCTAAAATCGATAAGACTAGGTTTCGGCCGCCACCCGGGCAAAATTCAAAATTTCCTACCAACTGAAAAAGTTTAATGTGTCCCGCGCGCTCATATGACCTTTTGCAGTTGCGAGCGCCGTAAAACTCATACAAAAACAAAAAAGCATTCTATTTCCAGTTCATCTTTGGTCATCCCCAGCCTGTTTCAGTTTGCCTATTGATTTTCCAATACGCAGCGTGAGGGGAAATTCTTGAGTTTGGAGGTCACAGGGTATGGCCGAGCCATTGCATTCTTCTTTTGCACATTATGCTGTCCCCGAGGCTTTATGCACCCCGCATAATTTAGCAAAATTTGATCATTTTTTGCATAATTTCTGATTATTTTCCTTTATCGTTCTTTGTTAAAAATTAACAGAATCGCATAATTTCACATTTTTGGGCTCAGTTTGCATAATTTCAGAAATTTTCTTGCATAAAACGACAGGAACACATTATGGTGTTTGTCAGCACCTCCTGCTGGGATCTTTATCTTATTTATTTGTAATGAAGTCTCTCTAGCAGATATTGAGCATCTTGTGGAGGCATTTGTTATCAAAGACGCCGCGTCGCCTTTCCTGTTCTTTTTTTAAACTCCATGACGCACAACCATACAAGAGTACTGATTTTTTAATGGAATAGCCCTAAATGAAAATGAAGATGTCATGATTTCTTCCCCCTCTCCATCAGCTGGGTACCCTCGGTGCGGGAAATCACTACGCAGAAATCCAAGTGGTGGACGAGATTTACGACGAGTACGCAGCCAAGAAGATGGGGATTGAGTTCAAGGACCAAGTCTGTGTGATGATTCACTGTGGCAGTCGCGGCCTGGGCCATCAAGTGGCCACTGGTAATGTGTGTGTGTGTGTGTGTGTGTGTGTGTGTGTGTGTGTGATGATTCACTGTGGCAGTCGCGGCCTGGGCCATCAAGTGGCCACTGGTAATGTGTGTGTGTGTGTGTGTGTGTGTGTGTGTGTGTGTGATGATCCACTGTGGCAGTCGCGGCATGGGCCATCAAGTGGCCACTGGTAATGTGTGTGTGTGTGTGTGTGTGTGTGTGATGTTCACTGTGGCAGTCGCGGCCTGGGTCATCAAGTGGCCACTGGTAATGTGTGTGTGTGTGTGTATGCGTGTGTGTGTGTGTGTATGTGTGTGCGTGTGTGTGTGTATGTGTGTGTGTATGTGTGTGTGTGTATCTGTGTGTGTGTGCGTGCGTGTGTGTATGTGTGTGTGTTTGTGTGTGTGTGTGTGTGTGTGTGTGAGGATGATCCACTGTGGCAGTCGCTGCCTGGGCAATCAAGTGGCCATTGGTAACAACAGCATTGTCATTGTAGAAGTTTGTGCGTGTGTGTGTGTGTGTTTGTATGGGTGTGTGGGAGTGTGTGTGGGGGGGGGGGAAGGAAAGAGTGTGTGTGAGTGTGAGTAAACGTGTGTTTGTGTATTGTATAGTCAGAATTGAATTTTTTTTCTCCGTGTTTGTGTGTGTGTATGTTTTATTTTTGCATGTTCAGGTAGGGAAGAAAGAATGAGTGTGTGTGTCTGTATGTGTATGTGCGTGTGTGTGAAGGAGAGAGAGTGGTAGTGACTATTTTGTATGTGTGTGTTGGGGGGGATGTGAGAGTAATGACTAATAAAGGTTTTTATGTATGTGATTGCGCGCGTTCATGCGTGCATGTGAACTTGTGTGCGTACGTACAAGTATGTGTGCATTAGAGGATCCTTGCTTAAACTGTACCTAATGTATTCTCATTGGAAGTTTTGTTGGTCTTTAGTAGATGTAGGCCTATTTGCATTTAGAGATTTGTTGCTATTTTTAGTAGATATGTCCTTGTGATTGTTATGCTTATAAATCGGGCCTGCATTTGAATTGACTTACTGTGTATACTTGCCTATTACTCTCTAGAAACCTCTCTATTCTTTAGAACTTATGTGACCTAATTGTGTTGCAGGTGTCGTAAAACTGTAACTAAAACTAAACTGAAAAAGAAAGAATCTCTCTTTTTTAAATACATGTTGTATGATTTCACCCCTGTCATGGTTTGAAAAAGATATAAATTCTATTATTGTTTTAAAAATGTTTCCTTCTGGTTCTGATTGTATGTTGTGTGGACACCTTGTTTTCTCAGATGTTCCCCTGGGGCAGTGCCACTGACTCAAGTGTCTTTAGGCCGTTCCCAAAGGGGGGACATTTCTTTTTCTAGTGCATAGTAGAATTTTAAATGGGCTGATCTAACAATGTCTTGCCCATAATGTGCCTGAACTACAACAGGGAAATGCTGCTTTTTCTTTTCTAATCCTTACTATCGTAATTTTCCTTTACTTCTTTTGTATGTTTGTTGCACTCTTGTGACCCGCTATTTCCGGGGTGCCTTGATAGTCGAAGCAGACTTTGTACTGTTGATGCTGTGAGCAGAGTAAGTCTGATTCCCTGTAAAGACTTCTCTGTTGACATCCACCCCTTGGCGCTCATATGACCATATGCAGTTGCGAGCGCCGTAAAACCTGTACTAAAACTTTCAAAAAACTTATCAGATGCTCTGGTTGCCATGGAGAAGGCGATGAAGCGTGACCAGATCGAGGTGAACGACCGACAGCTGGCCTGCGCCCACATCCAGTCTGCCGAGGGCCAGGATTACCTCAAGGGCATGGCCTCAGCCGCCAACTACGCGTGGGTCAACCGGTCAAGCATGACCTTCTTGGGCAGACAGGTGAGCCAGGTCACTTCAGGGACGCGGGTTTCCTTTTGGTTTTTAGGTTTCTATTTTTAGTCTTTGTTTTGGTTTTTCAGTTTTTTGTTCATGACCAGTGTGTTGGGTTTTTAGGTTTTTTATAAAGGGGGCAGGTGGGAGAGTGTTGTTATTGATTACCACATTACACCCTAAGGGCCTGGACGGGGAGTCCATTGTTAGATCCTAAGCAAGGGGAAGGAACCCACCTCCCGTGAATACAAGTGTGCAAAAAACACATTTTAAAAATACTAAACAAATTCCAAAAATCCTGAAAAAATAAAAGTTAAAAAAAATACTGAATGTAGTTTCAGAAAAATATAACTTTATGTATGCACAAACTGTTGGAAATGTTCTAACTTTAGTTCAATCAGGGTGTCCGACCTGTCACTCTCACTCTCAGCCTCGCGGTCGGGCCCTAGATCTAAATTCTAGATTTTCTCCGTCTGATCAATCAGAATCCGCCCAAACTCTTGCTACAATGTTTTCATCAAAATCTGAGCCATCTAATTTGTCATATGCTTGTTTTTGCTCAAATCCATAGTTATTTCTGTTTTCGAACTCAATTGAGTCGTTTTTCAACAAGTCGAGACACTTTCGAAGTGTCGGTAATGCGATCGCACTTCGATCAGCTCTAATACTAAAACTACTGGCGCGAAAAATTTCGTTTCGGTATCAAACGAAAGAAGAAACTTTTTGCTATAACTATGCAAATCAAAATCCCGGCCCCGGAGTCTCGTCAAGGTGACACTTCATTTTTAAAGACGCTAGGTCGGCGCAGGCGGTTCCGGGCGAGTCAGGGTGGAGCGCGTAAGGGAATTCCCGGGCGATCCCGGTCGAGTTAGGGTGTAATGTGTTAAGTTATGGGAAGTTGCAATGCATAGAATAAAGAGTGAAAAATACCCATGGAGTTGAAATCTTTTAATTTTGGCAGGAATTTCGTGTTAAAAGGGCTCATGTTAAACAGAATCTACTGTACTGCTCTGGCAGGCTTTTGCGAAGATGTTCAACACGACCCCTGATGACCTTGACATGCATGTGATCTACGACGTGTCCCACAACATTGCCAAGGTGGAAGAACACTTTATCGACGGCAAACAGAAGACGCTTCTGGTCCATCGCAAGGGCTCCACTCGTGCCTTCCCTCCGCACCATCCCCTCATCCCTGTAGACTATCAGGTGAGACCATACACTTGTAGTAACCCTGTCCGTACGCCCTGGGGTCATTTTGTACCCCCGGGGTTGTGTTCTTCACTTTTTAGAATACTTCTAGTGCGAAGATCTCTTTGAAACTTTCAGTATTTCTCAAAAAATCATTTTGACAGACTGCTATGCAAAGAGTATGGATCGGACCAACGAGTAAATTTCCTCTTTGGAAAGTGGTGGCACAGAGTTCCCCAAGTCGTATGGATACGATAGGAAAACACGATGTACGGATAGGGTTAAAATTTCCTAGATCATGCACTGTCTGGTTCACCATGAAGATCATCATGTCACTCTTTATGGAACAAAGACGTGCGTCATAGTAATTAATATCCGAGACTGTGCACTGTGACGTACTTCTGGTTCACCGTGGAGCCATCATTTGATACTACAGTGGAAATCTGATATTACAGAGACCGGAGAAAAAGTCCTGTTACATCAGATCCGTGTTAAATCCGAAATTAGGGAAGTAAGCATTTGTGGACTAATCCAGCTAGATCTAGGTGTATGCTAGCAGTGGCGTGGCTTGCGTGGGCTTGTTCCATCACTGCGTTACTCTCTCTCTCTCTCTTACTTTTTACACATTGTTAACAAGCCTTTGTCCCTGCTATAACCGGCTGGGCTCCGATGAGGCCCTGTTATTGTCTATAACTTTTAGTAGAAACAAAGAGTAGGAAAAAACGGGGATTTAAAAAAATCCCTGTTATTACCGGATCCCTATTATTACCGGGCCTGTTATATATACCTGGTTTCCACTGTATATCACCCTTGTACTGCTGAGATTTTTCCTTCTGTGTTAGTACTGACAAAATACAATGTCCATTGAAGGCAGCCATTCACAAAGCCGTACTATCTTTCCCCTTTTTGTGAGTCAGAAACTACAAACTATGGCTCAATGTCCTAAAACAGGAAGCCCCAGTTCTTAAACACAGGGGTGCCCTTTTTCTGGATAAATCGGGAAATCTGGATTTCTGAAATTGTCCGCATTTTATTCTTGTACAGATATAATCCTTTGCCATTATGATATTTAATATTACTAATCTGATAAATACGTCTGTGGGTGGTTGGAGGGTGCATATGGTACATCCTGCTTCTCTTTTCCTGTTGTTAATTAAAATTTAAAAATAATGAAATCTCTTTTACAGTGCTGAATGACCACTCTTGTGTCAGCATCCTTCTTTGTACTCAAACAAACATATCACTTTTCCTCTCCCCCCGGGGCAGTGCCACTGACTGTAGTGTCTTTAGGCCATTCCCAAAGGGGGGACATTTCTCGTTCAAGCATAATAAAATTGTAAATGGGCTGACTCATGTCACGCTCATAACTGTGCCTGATCTACAACAGGGAACTGCTGCTTTTTCTTTCTTGATCCTTACTATTGTCATTTCCCTCTACTTCTTTTGTATGTTTGTCACTCTCTTGTGACCCGCTATTTCCGGAGTGCCTTGATAGTCGAAACAGACTTTGCGCTGTTGAAGCTAGAGAGGTGAGCAGTCTAAGTCTGATTCCCTCTAAAGACTTCTCTGTTGATAACCACCCCTTGGCGCTCATATGACCTTATGCGGTTGCGAGCGCAGTAAAACCCTCTACTGTAAAAAAAAAAAAAAAACAACCCAAAAAACCCCAATCACTGTTTCCCTTGTGCAGTTAACGGGCCAGCCGGTGTTGATCGGAGGAACGATGGGCACGTGCAGCTACGTCCTGACGGGCACGGAGCAGGGGATGGTGGAAACGTTCGGGACCACGTGCCACGGCGCGGTGAGTGAGTCTGTCTCTGCTGGACGTTTGTTTGTTGAATTGGAGGGGGGAAGGGGGGGGGGGGGAGTGGTTGGCGGGTGCTGTTGTGTGGTCTGCTTCTTCTTTCCTATTAAACATACATCGTCCTTATCTCTCCTCCTCCTTTGTTGTGTTTGTTACTCTCTTGTAGCACCTCTAATCTTCGCCACATATATGACATTATTGTGTTGCAAGTGCTGTACAACTCTTACTAAAACTAAAACTGTGTTGGGGGGAAACACTTGATGGCTGTCAGATCAGCTATGATATTTTGCTTTACAGTGTGCTCTCAAATATTGCTGGAGATTATTTAGTTTTGCTTCTGTGTTCCCAAGAATATTGCTAGGGATTATTTTGTTTCACTGTCTTACTTCACAGTGTTCCCTAGAATATTGCTAGGGATATGTTGTTTTGCTTAACAGTGTTCCCTGGAATATTGCTAGGGATTATTTAGTTTTGCCTTATGTGTTCCCTAGTAGAATATTGCTAGGGATATGTTGTTTTGCTTAACAGTGTTCCCTTGAGTATTGCGGGGGTTTATGTTCTAGAACCTCCCTCGATAGGAGAAACAATATATTATTTATTATGTATTTTATGCCTTTATACTTAATAAACCCATCTCTCACTCTGACTCTCATGTATCTCTCCCCGTCTTCGTAACACTTTCTTCATTTAAAATCAATTCAAAGTTTAAAAAATACATTAGTATAATGAGAATGATTCATACTGATTGGTCAAGTCTGGGCCAGTTGTGTTTAAATAGAGTTTTGATGGTTTTCCTATTTTTAGTTAGAACAACAACAAAAATGCAATGTACTGTGCCTGTGAAATGTGAATCATGATATGTCGAAGAACTACTGTATCTGGGTATGTTCATTCTGGTGTTTTACTATGGGTAACGATGAAAACATTCGTTTTCTTTCTCTCCCAGACTTGTGAGAGCTGTTAAAAGTATATCATCGAGGGCTGGGGAGATGTCCCGATATGGAACAGAAGCATGTTTTCTCTATATTTTATTAGGCATGGGCAAGACCTTCTGACCTTCTAATTGTGTTGCAAATGCTGTAAAACTCTTACTGAAACAAAAAACTACTATTCTTCATTTTATCTTTTAAATGTCTTTTTTGGTTTGTTTCAGGGCCGGGCTTTGTCGCGCGCGAAGTCTAGGAGAAACCTGGACTACACCGAGGTGCTGGAGGCCCTGGAGCAGAAGGGAATCAGCATCCGTGTGGCCTCGCCCAAACTGGTCATGGAGGAGGTGAGAGAGCCATCGTTTGTTCTCCCGTACCCGCAGAATTATGCAAATTTAGATGGCCAGATTATGCAAGACAGATGTAAAATTATACAAGTTACCGTAAAGCCATTCATGACATGTTTTCCACTTTTTTCAACAAGAATTTTCAGGTTGCATATACAAAAGAATTGAAAACAACATATATCAGTATCAGTAATTTTTTGTGTATTTGGAAAGAAAACAATACACATACATCAGTCAGAAAAAAACAACCAAAAAAATATAATCTCTGTCACTTTCAGCTGAATAGAGGAAGAAAAATGTAAAAAAACAAAAACATCTGGACCTCTGATGTTGGCACATCACTAAAACCAGGGACACCTGTCAAACATGAAACATCAGCAGAGACATTAGAACAACTTTTGATGGATTGAAAAATTGAACATGCTCAAGGAACACAATCCCTAATCCTTACCCCCCCCCCCCGAATATCTTTTGACAAGGGATCAAGGGATATAACCCACTTGTCACTTAAATGAGATTTATTACTGTGATTACTTCCTTTTTGTCACACGGTGAGGCAAAATGCAAAAAAACAAACAAACCCCCCCCCCGTAAAAAACGGGGACAGGTTCTCCTCTCCTTGATGGGTCAATTGTAGTTGTGCCAGTTACCACGGGTAACTAGTGAGCATGAATTATTTGAATGCAGAAAAGTGTGTGTGAAGGGTTGGGGGTACCGGGCCAATGCTCACTATCACTATCTTTAGCCTACGTTTGGGGAGTGTTTTTTAGCTTTAAAAAGTTGGCAGGGATTTACTTTTTAATTGAAGCATTATGAGCACCCCATTATGGTTCTGATTTCTTATTGTCTGTTTTCATTTTCCTCTTAATATCATGAAATTATAAACAATCTAGAAGTTTTTCTCAGGAAGCGTAACTTTTTCTCGGGTAAAAATTAAGGTGAATGTCTAAGTTTTTTTTGTGTGTGTGTTTTTTTCACCCAGGCTCCCGAGTCGTACAAGAATGTCACTGATGTTGTGGATACGTGTAAGTAGTGAAATGTTTTTAGTTTTTTTTAATAGTAGAGGGTTTTACGGCGCTCGCAACTGCATAAGGTCATATGAGCGCTAAGGGGTGGGTGTCAACAGAGAAGTCTTTACACAGGGAATCAGACTTAGACTGCTCACCTCTCTAGCCTCAACAGCACAAGGTCTGCTTCAACTATCAAGGCACCCCAAAATAGCAGGTCACAAGGGAGTGACAAACATACAAAAGAAGTAGAGGAAAATGACGATAGTAAGGATCAGGAAATAAAAAGCAGCAGTTCCTTGTTGTAGATCAGGCACAGTTATGAGCGTGACATGAGTCAGCCCATTTACAGTTCTACTATGCTTGAACGAGAAATGTCCCCCCTTTGGGAATGGCCTAAAGACACTTCAGTCAGTGGCACTGCCCCGGGGGGTGTAGTGAAATGTGCTCTCAGTTTGTCAGTAGAATTATGTGTTGCATGTAATGGCGCTCTCAAGGCTTTGAGTTATTTTGGAGACAAAACCGTAACACATTACTCCCTATCTCACCCAGGATCGCTTGTCAGTTTCTCTACACGCTCCACTCTATCGACAGCTCAGACCAGGCATCTTTAGAAAAAAAGTCTTGTCTTTATGAGACTCTGTGTTTGAGATTTTGATTTATATAGTTATTGCAAGAATGTTTCTTCTTCCATAGGTACCCAAAGAAATTTTTTTGGTAGTTTTAGTATCATTAGAGCCTTTTGAAGTGCCCTTGTATATCTGACTGTCCCCGTGGTTTTATGCACCCCGCATAATTTAGCAAAATAAAATTTGATCATTTTTTTGCATAATTTCTGATAATTTTCCTTTATCATTCTTTGTTAAAATTAACATAATCGCATCATTTCCCATTTTTGGGCTCAGTTTGCTAATTTCATAATTTTTCTTGCATAAAACGATGGGGACAGATCTGACAGTTCGTAGGTGGCCCGGCAAGTTGAAAAGCGTCGCAACTGAGCTAGAACAAGCAAATGAAGAAGCGGAGGAATCAAATCTTAATGAAAATGTTAAAGCAGAAGTTGGGGGTGGGGGGGGGGAAGAATTCATATTAATCGGGTGTAGCATTAGTAGCATCTAGATCTAGAGCCTGACCATGAGGCTGAGAGTGAGAATGACGGGTTTGACACCCCGACTGAAGGAAAGTTAAAACATTTCCAAAAACCTGTGCGTATAAAGTTATGTTTGTGTGAAACTACATTCATCTGTTTCAAATTTTTATTTTTTCAGAAATAAAAAAAATCATTTAGTATTTTAAAAATATTTTTTTTAAAATACTTGTATTCACGGGAGATGAGATACCTCTCTTTGTTTAGCTGTCCCCGCAGTTTTCTGCAAAAAAAAAATTCTGAAATTATGCAAACTGAGCCAGAAAATGTGAAATTATGCGATTTTGTTAATTTTAACAAAGAATGATAAAGTAGGAAAATAATCAGAAATTATGCAAAAAAATGATCAAATTTTGTTAAATTATGCGGAGTGCATAAAACCCCGGGGACAGACTTAGGATTTGGGAATCAGCTTCTCATCCAGACACAATTGAGTGTAGACACCCCAAATTTCTTCTTTTAGTTTTGTGTGTGTGTGTTTGTAATAGACAGCAAATTATATTGTCAGTATGTTAGTGTTTTAGCGCCTGCAAAATGACAGCTTGCACTGTATGCTTCCCAGGAAGTTGAGGTTATTTCAGAAAACCATCAGGTTTGCTGGGGTAATAAATAATAATATAGATTGTATAATGTATAGAGCTTGCTGTTGAGCGGAAATTTGTGCTATGCAATTGCTATTTGGTTGTGACACCATCTGTTTAGTTTTAGTAAGAGTGTTATGGCACTTGCAACATAAATAAGCCTTATATAAGTGCCGTAGAGTAGAGGTGTTACTAGTAATTCAAGAGAGTAACGTACAAAAAAAAAAAAAAAAAAAAAAGAAGCTGGACAGATAGGGATGATAAAAGTTTGAAAGAAAAGCAGGAGCAAACCATACCAGGGCACCCTCCAACCTATCACTAAACTGTCTAACTAATCTCCTGAACCTTCCCCAGGTCACACGGCCGGGATCAGCAAAAAGGCCATCAAACTACGACCCATCGCTGTCATCAAGGGCTGATACACGAACACACCGGAGGAAATGTACGGGATACGAAGGTGGCTTTCACTCAGCAACGGGAAAATGTTTGCGGTACAGGAAGTTGCTTTAAAGAAACTGTTTTTCCTGTCCGACTCACTCTCGAGAGTGAAACGCAAGATCTGAGTACGAGCTCAATTCTTCTTCCAGATTTTTTTTCTGGGATAAAAAAACTATTGTAATTTAAACATAAGCCTCTTTATGTTTGCGAACTTGTGCAATCTGTTAGTGTATGGTTCCCAGAAGTATGTTGTGAGACTTTCAGCCGACCTCCTTATGTTCACTTAAACATGTTTGTTTTTCTTTCAGTCAGCTTCAGTAAGGGTGTTTTGTTTTGATGGAAAAGTACATATCTATATATGTGAGGCAGCGTGGTGTAATCAGGCTCTCCTCAATTTTGGGGCATGTAGAGTTATTGGTATAATCTTAAAGCTTTTTCACTTGTCTTTATTTGAATGAAAAAAATATTCATTTGTCTCGAATGTAAGTCGAGATATTTGCAATTGAAGGAGGTGGGGGTCACCTGTTTTCAGTGGTAGAATTAGTGAGAAAATGGCCGCCAAAGATCAGTTATTTCCTTAGCTTAAGAGTCCGTGGTAACTGAAAAGGTACTTTTTTTGTGTGCCTTTAATCAATGTTTTTCAGAAAAATCCACACAGAAATGAGTTCTTTAATGAGCATGAAAGGTTTTGAGCCAAAAAACAAAAATTTTCTTCACTTTGATTATTTTGACGAGAGCCTGATCCCACCACGCTGCCTCACAAATGTCACATGACAATTTGATGTAGAAAGAAATGAGAAAACAGCTACTTATTATTCGTCGCGTCAGAGCTATTTTTTTTTTTTTAAAGTTCCTCTTTACGAAAGTACACTTTGGACAAAATAGTTTTGGGGCAACAAATTCTTATCGTCCTAGCCCAGGAAACTTTGACGGAGACAAATACAGCGGTAGTAAGTTATTTTGTTGGCTGCCGGGTGTGTGTTCACATCTTTCCAGTAACTAGTGGGTGGTTGGAGGGCGCCACTGTAAGGTCCTACAGTAGCCCTACTTTTGTTTCCCTCAGTTTTTTTGTTGCTTTCCAATTTGATTTTTATCCCTACTCAAAATGACCGTGACCGTGTCTGGTGTACTTCTTCTTTACTTGAGATATAGAATTACCCCAGTGACTAGATGAGCCAGAGCCTGTGTTCCAGAGGGGGGGGGGGGGGGGAAGAGATAAGTGGCAGAGATCCTGACACAGTGGACTCCGCTAAAACTGAACATGGTCAGTCTGTAAACAGGGGTAAATTTATTTTTTTTTGGGGGGGGGGGGGGGGGGGAGATCACCAATTTTTCTATTTGAGCAACCTGTCTAAGCCGAACCTCGGCTAAACTAAAGAAAATCCAGCTGTGCTGCAGATTTCAGTATAAGCGGAGCCAACTGTATTATTGTACAGCGCACTGAGCACTTCTTTGTGGAAATGGGCTATATAAATGCAATTTATTATTTTATTATTATTATTATTAGATGTAGCGACTGCCTGGAAATATAGGGTGTGGGTCGCATCTGTGGATGGTGAAGAAACTGTTCACCACTCCAATAGACATAGTGTGCCTGGGTCTACCCACTCCCCTCTCAATGTGACAGAGAGAGTCAGTCATAGTACATGGAGTGTGTTGGAGGAAAAAGGAGGTACACTGAGGTAATAACGGTCATTTATTGCAGGGAAAATACAATTCAGACAGGTAGAAACAACTGATGGTAAAGAAATAAAGTAGGGCCTACTACTAGTGGCGCTCAGCAGAATTACACTTGCAGAGTATCAGGACAACTATTTCTTATCTTTGCAAAGCTGTATGGAAACATGGCTGGACTGGAATTTTATTTTATCCTATCATCTGAACAGTTTTGGTGGACTTATCACTCAAATGTGCCAGATACTCTTTATTGACAAGCCAGATTAATTCTGAGTTTGTGTAAAAAATATTGTGCCTGATAAAGTGAAAAATATCAGGAGAGTAATTTAAATTACATTACAGTAGAGGGTATTATTTATGGACACACTAAGTCTGATCCTCAAGATCATTACAACATTCTGTTCTGCAGAAAATTTATTTTTTTCTCAAACCCCTCACTTGAGCTTCCAATTCCACAGCCTGTCCTTGCTTCATAGATTGGCAGTGGCTGCACGGGTAACTGGAATTATTTGACTTGTAAAATGACATGTTTAAGTTTATGTTTTCTGATATTGCTTGGAATGTAAATAAAAATGTGACATTTCCCCATGACTTGATTTGTTGTGTAAACACACATTCATCATTCCCTTTTAGGCCCATAACGTTGTAACAGAACAGTTTCTGAAGTAGTCTGCTAATATACAGTCTCGATTTAATTATAGCAAAAGGAGCAGAAAATTGGTTAGGCACACATGCCACCATTATAAACTGAACTGCTTTTATCCCCATATTGTCAGCCAGCTGTTAAAATGTACAAAGCCCAAAAATTAAAAAAAAATTTTTTTTTAAAGAGTATCACTGAGTATCGGTAGTGTTTGCTCAAAAAATGTTTTGAATGTTAAAAAAGAAAGCAAGAAAAAATACATAAAGGTACAATTTTTAAAAGTATATTAAGTAATTAAGACAGTCTTTTACTCTCTCTAGAAAAAAAAATTTGCATTCTAGGCTTAGAACAGTACAGCAGCTTGCTGACGATATCGGTGCGTCTTGTCGTTTTTATCCATGAGAAACAGGTACACCATTTGAAAATAACAAGAAAATTGAAGTTAAAAAAATTGTACAGCAAACTATTTCACTCACTTCAACATTCAATGAACACATTTGTTGGAGGTAACGCTGTCTGAGCAATAAAAATAAAATTCTGAATGTAACAACAGGGGACGCACAGATGTGATATAACAGGGGACGCATAGATGTGTATATCTACATGTCATTGACACTCTGGTTCAAAGAAATAAGAAGATGTGTTTACCTACATGTCATTGACACTCTGGTTCTAAGAAATAAGATGTGTTTACCTACATGTCATTGACACTCTGGTTCTAAGAAATAAGATGTGTTTACCTACATGTCATCGACACTTTGGTTCTAAGAAATAAGAAGATGTGCTTATTTGCATGTCATTGACACTCTGGTTCAAAGAAATAAGATGTGTATATCTACATGTCATTGACACTCTGGTTCAAAGAAATAAGAAATATGGAGGAAGAATTGTTCCACATTCTGTCGGGGAACCACGAACTAAAAGTGCCGGGCCAGGCAGAGAAAGGAAAACTGGCGCTCGATCGTCGATAGAGGACAATCAAAAGACATCGTCGAACGTGGGCAAAATAGACGGGCAAATCATCGTGCCAACAAATATTGAGAACTGTCCCCGTGGTTTTATGCACCCCGCATAATGTAGCAAAATTTGATCATTTTTTCCCATAATTTTTTATTATTTTCCTTTATCATTGTTAAAATTAACAGAATCGCATAATTTCACATTTTTGGGCTCAGTTTGCATAATTTCAGAATTTTTTTCTCATAAAACGACGGGGACAGATTGAAATAAAAGAAATGGTCAAATAAAGTCTTATTTTCTGATGATTGTACACCATGGGGCAGAACAGGTAAGGGGGGGGGTTTAAGAGAAAAAAAAAATGTTCCAAATATTCCAAGCTTTGGCAAGACTTATGTGTTCAAACCCAAGGTCCCTGGCCAGGTCAACATAATATACTGGCCAATGGTCAAGAAGAAATTAGTTATTTCATCAATGCTGATCTCAAAACTCAAATGTTAAAGAAAAGAAAAATGTAATGACTTCTTCTAAGTGTTTTAACTACATGTACACAATGCAATTAACTTCAACTTCAACTCACAAATCACACATAGCCTCAGACACACGTTTTCACACACATACACATGAGTTATCACAAGCACACACACACACACACACACACAAGACACACAAAGATGAGCAAACACAAGCACACACACACACACAAGCACGCACACATCTTCCTCCCCCCCCTAGTTTTCTCTCCTCCCCATGTGAACACATCATGCCCAGCGGCCAATCTGCCCACCTCTGCTATCTGTGTCTGGTGAGAAAATCTGGCACAACCGAGGACACAAATTCGGAGACTGTCTCTCTGTTCAGGTACAACACTGCCGATAACGTCACAGCCAGGGTGGCTGCTGTAAGGGAAGTTACTGACAGTAACCTTGACCTCTTGTCTGTCTGCTCGATCAGGTCAGGTGGTTTGCAGTTTCGCCGAGCCATTTCCTACAGAGAAAACAAAGTAATACTATACAAGTATAAATCCTGAGAGAGAAATTTTTTTTCACAAACCGTTAATCATAATAACAACTGAGTAGATTTTAGTGTTGCGGCACACACCGACTTCACACACACACATATATAATATATATATATATATATATATATATATATATATATATATATATATATATAATATGGCTCTTTTCGTCTATGCAGACGGTCAATTTAGCTTAAGATGGTCTCAAGGTTTTCTTCATGCAGCTTCTTTCATGGCTAATTCTTCCTATGTTTGAAGCGCAGATTCTGTTGCAGTGCTTGCATGTCAATGTCGTAGATCAAAGATCTGTATTTCCGCTGGTTTCCTTTCGCTGTTGGCGCTTCTCAGCCTGGTATATATATATATGCAACAAGACTCAACTGGTTTAATGTATCGTCTGTCACCAACTGACGACAAACGTGAAACGTGCTGACAAAATGAGTTACTTCTCGCAATTCACAAATGGAGATATTGGTTAAAATCGACACAAGGGTCTAATTTGTAGATTTTCTATTGACGCAGTATTCTTTAATTAAGTATAACATGCCTACTGTAATTTCACACTTACTTATAAATCGTAAGAAACTTAACCTTTAAGCATGATGTATCTATTTCCATAGGGCTCGAATTCGAGAAGTAACTCATTTTGTTAGTATGCTTCACAAATTTCTTCATTCATTCAGTGCACACAGACACGGAGGGTATAGAAACTGGTTATTGTATACATTTAATGACCACTATTGTATCGATGTGCTTCTCTTTCTTCCAACAAAAGCGTGTATTTGGGAGGCATCACTGGTAGGTCCTACATTTTTACTTTTCCTTTTTTGTTTCTGTCTGTCTTAAACTTTTTCCGGTGGGTGGTTGGAAGGTGCTCTGGTGTGGTTTGCTTCTTCTTTCCTATCAAACATCTATCGTCCTTATCTCCCCTCCTTCTTTTTTATGTTTGTTACTCTCTTGTAACACTTCTAATCTTTTGGCGCTCATATGACCTTATGCAGTTGCGAGAGCCGTAAAACCTCTACTAAAACAAAACTTGTTCCCACCACCAAAAGACTATTATTGTGTCGATGTGCTTCTCTTTCTTCCAAAAAAAGCGGGTAGTTGAAAGGCGTCACTGGTAGGTCCTACTCTTTTACTTTTCCATAGTTGTTTCTGTCTGTCTTACTTCCCCCCCCCCCCAACTATATGACCATCATTGTGTTGACGTGCTGTCTTTCCCCAAACAAACAAACAAACAAACAAAGAGACCCACCAGTCTGAGCTCTCTCTGTATGGTCCTCAGCTCCTGCTGTAGCGTGGCGGCGTTCCTCGCTGCGTCCTCTGCGTGTCGCAGCAACTGGGCGGGGGACACACGGTCCTGGAGGGAACACACAAAGATTTATTCACAGCGGTCATATTTATTTATTGAGGGGGGGAGGAGAACACACAATGATTTATTCACAGCGGTCATATTTATTTATT